CCTTTGTAAAATTTATATAGAACTACAATAGAATGCTTTTTTTTTTTGCAAATTTTTAAATATTTATTGAGAAACTACGGTTCTTAAGATGCTTTTAAATGATTGGCACCGTACATTTGTTAAAATTTTGGGGTACATCAAAAATGAAAGTTTTGCGTCCCTAACCGCTAATTAACCAATCACATAAGCATGTGACAATTGTTAATCAAATTAAAAACTAAAAAATTTCGTCCAACTCGAAACACAACAATGTTTGGAGCTTTTAGGGCTACCATTATCGCCTATGGAGGCTTATTACGGTTCGATCCTTTTCACGATTAAAAGTATTATGCTTGAATAAAATTTAACTTTCATGTGCTTTATTAGGAAAATGCCTGCAAAAATGAACAAAACGCGTAAAGCAAATGTTCGTAAACGTTTGAAAGCCGTTGATAAAGTTATCACAGCTATCGCTGAATCAGGCGTTAAATGCAAAGCTTTGGTAATTCAATGGCCAATATTGTAATTCGGTTTACTTTTTTTCCTTATTTAATTTCACATAATTCACTATGAACAATTTACCAAGACACTTGCGCTCCAATTACCAAAAGAATCAGAGATGAAACCAAGAGACAAATACACGGTTTTTAGCAAAAACCATAAAGGTTACAGAAAAGGATTGCATAAAGTACCCAAATTCACAAAAGTTACAATGAGAACTTCACCTCCAGGTTTCACTTCTTGACTATAAATTAATGGTAATTTTACACTTTTAAAAAATATATATTTATATAAATTCATGAAGCTTAATAAAGTATTAAAATTTCAGACTGTCCACGCATTTTACAAACCGCGAATGACTTAATATTCTGTCCATGAAATCACCTGCACTGTGGCCGAAATTCTTAAATCACCCAAAATTTTATTAATAAAGTGGTAGCCAATGTGCTATAATGCAGTCGACTGGTATTATTGCTTAATTCCGGCCTACTTTGCCTACTCGACCCTAAATTTTGGTCGATCTGCTTACGTGACTAAACATAATTCTGACGCAAGGTTACTACTTTAGAGGAATACGTAATTTTATTAAGGAGGGAGGTTAACGTCTATATATATTATATAGTTGGCAGCTGTTTTATCGGGGAAAGTTTGGCCTTATAAAAAGAAATTATTTAATAAACAGTACTCCTCTTAACCTCTTAAATCCATGCATTAATCAATTGTTCTGATGCGATTTGTACTACTAGACCGTAGCAGGAGAAATTTGTCAAAATGTTAATGTTATTTCACATAATAGTAAATTTCGGATCTTTATGTTCGCACCTTTTTTAAACTCAAAATTATACCGATTGCTAATAAAAATTATAGTTCTGACCAGTGTGCGAAATTCAAGTTTAATTCATGTTCTCACAAGAACATCTATATAATAGATTTTGAGATTTTATGTTCTCGGAGAAATTGAGAACATTTAATTTCACACACTGATTCTGACACACAATGCTGAGTATTTACCCTAATTATATGAAAAGCATATTTGTCGACAATTTTAGTCTTCCACAAAATTAGAGTTTAGAGCCGGGTTATAGTAAACCGTGTCACCCGTGTCAAAACGGTTCAACCGGGTCAAAAATTTACAACTCGGGTCAAAACGGTTGAATACGTAACCCCTAACAATCTGTTATTATTACACAGAAAACATAACAAAATTTAACACATTATAATTGTATTGTGAATAAACACCCTTTTTCTCTTACCAAGGCCAGACCAATTTAATTCTTCGTTTAACATACCCCCCCCATTTTTTAAATTTTATATGAACCAATACTCATTAATAGTAATTAATAGTATTTACCCCTCAATTTTTTAAATTTTATATAACTAACACATGTTAAATC